AAATCTGGGGACGTGGCGGCCCGGTGGGCCGGCTCTCCTTGCCCCCTCGCGGGGGGAGGGATGAAACCGTCTAAGGGCCCTGAGGCTTCAGGAGCCGGCGGACCCTTGGGGTGGGGGCCCCAAGGGAGGCCACGGCCACCACCTCCCTCCCCTCCTTCCGCCTTCTCCCATCCCCTCCGCCTCTTGCTCACTTTCAGGCAGCGGAGATGGCGGGCACGCTCCTGTCTTGCTTTCTCGGCCCAGAAGACCCGCATGGGCTGCCGAGGGGGAGAGAGCATGTGATGGACCGGGGCCCAAATGTATTCTTCGCTTAGTGTTGAGGCACCCCAACCCCAACCTCGTCTGGGCAGCTCACAGGACCAAAAGTGAAGTCCAAAACAACACAATATGAGGACTTCACCCAGAGCCCATTACAAAATCACCACAAATAATTGCGCAATAATTACAAAGCCGTTACAAGGTGGCACACGTCTGAGTGTCCCTGGGCCCAACTGGGAGAGGCCCCGAGGTCCTTTTTTATCCCCTCTCCTGAGATCAAGGATTCTCCACCCCTCCAAGACGGGTATCCACAAGATGCGGCATTTTAAAGGAATAAAAAATAATAATAAACAAGAAACCTGTATGTCTGGACAAGGCAAACTCCATATGCTACAAAATCACACCCAAGAGGGGCTCAGCAGCTCCCCAAACCACTGTCTGGGAGAACAGCCAAGTTTTGAAAGGCTTCCAGAACCCCACCAGGAAGGGAGCCCCGCAGATCTTGGCGAGGGGTGCTCTTCCAGCGGGCAGGTGCCGCACAGCCTTTATGACTCCCACCCAAGAGGTAGGTTGGAACCCAGAAGACAAACTCGAGAGTTTCTGATAGCGAATCGTTCGTGAGAAAAGTTAGGAAGCCATGAGGAAAGAAGTCTAGTGACTTCAAGAGCAAGGGTTACACAGAGCACCCCTTTTTTGCTTTCCTGACCTAGGTAATAGGGTGCCTGGCCCCCCTCTTTTGCACAGGAGCCTGCTTTTCATCTGCCCCTTGTTTGGGACATGGCCAGATTTGCAATCATGGTGTTTTTTACTGACTCTGTGAGAATAACTCAAACATTTCCTTTTCTGTTTCTTTTTCGGGGCCTTCAAGTTAATCTTGATCTCTGATGACAATACCGACACGTCTTTGCTGTTTTCTAGGCAATGTTTTCGGAAGAGGGTTGCTCTCACCTTCTTCCTAGAGCTAAGAGAGAGGGGCTGGCCCAAAGTCACCCAGTTGGCCTCTGTCCCTATGGCAGAATAGTCCAGTGCCCTTACCGCTAGACTGATCTGCTCTCTCACATTACTTGCCCCCCAAAACAAGAAAGGCAGAAGAAAAGCAGTTAGAAGTCTCTGGATCCCCATTAAAAGTCTACCCCAAGACAAATGCAAATAAAAGTCTACCCTAATCAAAGAACTACCCTAATTAGTGAATACTCTAATCAAGGAACTACCAAGGAGAAAACTACACCCACCCCAACACTGGCAGGGCAAGCTACTATATATAAACAGAGAGCAAACCCCACTCCCTTCTAGCACTGATGATGTTACCTAGCTGGGTAATGCAACCTCTGCAAGAAAACAACCAAGATCAGAGAACCCCAAGGACTCCACAAATAAAAGTCTCTTTCAGAACCCCCCTCCAGAGACAAAGGGCAGAGTCATTTCAGCATCCGTTGGCTGGTAGGTGCTGGGCCTTGCTGAGCCAGGAGGTTCGGTAACCAACGAAGGGCAGAAATGCCTCTGAAAAGATGCTGATGTGCAGCGGGGAAGATGATGAAGATCAGATGATTAGGAAAGGAAGTTGGCCAAAGACAGCGCATTGGTGGGGAGGGGAAACCTTGTGAAAACGAAAGCAAACCGCAGAGAAGAATGTGTTTTGGATTGTAGGCATGTATACGTTAAGAGGGCACCTTGTGCAAGCGTGGTCCTCAGTGCATAATTACATCTGACAGGAATTGTGAGAATCTCTCCCCTTAATCCTAATTCGTTAAGTAGGCAGTATTTATAAAGGCTGTTTTAACAAGAACCCACTAATTCCACAAGCACGGAGCACACACTGAACATTAATGATTCCAAGCGCTAATTGTTAGAAACGTCAACTCTTCTCTCCAAATTTCTCCTTTTTAAAAAGAAAACAGCATCGAGGCGCATAACAGACTTGTCCACCTTTCTGTCCTGTACGTGTGCTAAGCACAAGACCTTACTACGTAAAAAAGAAAAAGAAAAAACAACCCTGAAAGACAATAGTCCCTAATTGCAAATTATATTACAATTTGGATTGTGGAAAATTTGGGGCATCCGCTGATGCCGTGTCCTTCTCTCTTGGTTTAATACCTGTACGGAGCATTCGTGTCATCTTCTGCGGTTTCCAGTAAATGGGTCTTTTAGAAAAAGATGCCTCTTTCTGAATGCCACATGTAAAAGTCACAATAACTCGGCGACTCTCCTGTGTCTCTCATTAGGCTGGTGGCGATGCTTATTAATGCTTACAGAGGGTTACTAGGCGTAAGTAATCCTCTTAGGGGTCTGCCAGCACAGGGCGTGTAAATGTTCTCCTTTTACAATAGGAAAACAGGCCAGGAGAAGACTTGCCGGGCGCTTCTGATTTCCCTCTGCTGACTATCGTGAATCCGTTGCCTACGGAAGAGAGCGCAGCCAACGCAGAGTCAGAATCTGTCTTTTTATTATTATTTTTAGCACAAACATGTTTGGATGGTCGGCCCGGCCTTGGTTTTATAACTCTGCATATCCGGCGAAGGAGGAGAGGCAGAACTGGAATCGCTGCTTCGACAGTATCCTAACCGACCAGAGGGAGAAGATCGTGAAGGAGCTAGATGTTCAGAAAGTGCTGTCACCTCTGGTTTGCAAGAGGGTGTTTTCCTGGGAGGAATACGAAGACATTGTGTCCTGCGAGCAGCAAGCTGCGTCTTTGCTGGAGAAACTGGCCTGCAAAGGTCCCGGGGCCTTATCTACATTCTGCTCCATCCTGGAGGAGGTCTGCCCCCACTTGCTCATTTCTGTTCTCCTTGACTCTCAAGGTAAGTTCCCCGGTCCTGCTCTCGGAAATGTTCCAAGAGTCTCAGCAGCACTGCCTCTTCACACCGTTAGTCTATAATTAGAAATTACTTTTTTTCTCCCAGGGGGTGCTTGCTCTTCTTTAAAACAAACACAAAACCCTAAAGAATAGCAAGATCTATAAATCCATCCATCCATCCATCCATCCATCCATCCATCCATCCATCCATCCTATTGTCTGCCCATCCATCTTATTTCTCAGGCTTTTTGGAAGAGACCGGGAAAGAATCATCTGGTTCTAATATGTTGGCCAGTTCTTAATATTTCAAAGCAATGATCAGCTGTCAATTTGCAGGTATGTTGCCATGGTGACAGATCAACCTTTCCCAGCGTGGTGCTTCTCTAGACTGGGCTGCTGTTTCCAACATTCCCAAAGGCCATGCTGGTTGTCGTTTAGGGGAATGGTAGTCCAAACATCTGGAGGGTGTCTGGTTAGGGAAGAGTAGGATAGTTGGACAAAGAGGAAAAAGTCACCTCTGCCCAGAACCTGCTACGTCAGGGCATGTGGGACTCTGAAACTATAGTAGGCTGAATCAAGAAGATAAAGAAAGGAGTATCAGCAGTTGCTGGAGGAAACTTCTGTCAGAGAAGGGTAATGTGTAGCTTAGCTCCAAGGATAGCTATATCTTATGCGCAAGGATAGATAGGTCAGTCCTCACACCCAAACTGGAACACGTGGTTTTAGCTGGTGGCATGCAAAAGACAATAGCTGTAACCTTATTTATTTCACAGAATCTGGGTCACCTTAATATTACAGTCCTATGCACCATGTTCAGTGGGTTTACTCCTTAGTAAACATTGCTTTGGGGATTCCAGCCCTATTTCATGTACTGGCCTGGCTCCAGAGGGTTGAGGACCAGAGTGTCTCTTCATTCACAAGCATTGATATTACTAGAATGGGAACCAAGAAGGAGAAGCTGATTTATTTAAAGGTTGTATGATGTGGTTTTATGATCTTAACTGCACACATCAAATAAAATCCCCAAAATACCCAGTGGGGTTTCTATAGCAATCTGTTTTAATTATAAGAGCTACATGCCCACCAAGGTGTATATTGCTTAAAGAATCAATCAGGGAAG